TGTGATATATATATATATATATATATATAATACAAACCACTAATCTCTGCGAGTGACAAGTTATTGTTAGACAAAAAAAGACCCTTCCTTTGAAGTGAACATTTGAATCACGGAATGAATTGTGAGTTGTGACCCTTGGATAAATTCTAAACTGAAAATTTTGAACCCTTTTCCATGAAGTATAAAACTTGGTGCCCGGAAGATTTTTCAGAAAATTGTTAGCTAGTTAGAAGATTGATACTAACAATAATTTGTTTGAAGATTAATTGTTAGTTAGTGATATTTAGTATAAATCAGTGAGGCTTTTAACGATCTACTGCAATAAGCATGACTGGAATTAATAGAATGTATAAAATTCAGCTCGAGAGTAGGAAGCTTATAATTGATCAGAAAGTTTATATGAGAATTTTCTAAAGAAGATTCAAATCAGGTTATGAAACTTAGTTAAAGATTAAGCTTTTCTGATTTTCTGACTTACTTAACTGGCAATAGTTTGAGACAGCTAAATGAAACAAATATAGAGTGAATGTTTAGTTAAAACTTTTGAGCAATGTTTGTAAGCATTTTTGTTGATTACCATATACATTCCTCACCATCGAAAAATCCTATTCCTTTCATCGTGCTAAAAAAGAATCATTAATTAATGGCAATCATTCAGAATTCTTATGAACTATATATGCATGTGTCTTATGTGGATGCTTAAATATTTTCTTTTTAATATTGTAATAACCTAATATACTATTCAAATTAAAACTCCATAATAATAATTTTAAAGCTAAAATAATGTCTTTAATATGTTTTTAGTTTTGTCTTTTAATATCCAGATATACATTTTGTTGCCCTGATAATGATATGGATATTTAGTGGTTTGGTCTTTTATTATGCATTTTTACCTTTGTAGTTTGGATTCTTTGGAATACATATAGAAGTGACGTGACCTCGGCTCTAATTCTAGTGCTTAATAATACGTTATTTAGTTTATCTCCGATGAGAGACGTTTATGAGGTTATTAAATTTAAGAAACAATTTTTATGCAGTTTTACATTGATATGACAATCCTTATATTCGAATAATTGCTTATATAAATAATAATTCTTAACGATTTTAAGAATTGTGAGAAAATTAAAGGGCTCATTTTAAGTGTTTAAGAAATATAATTGGGGATGGAAAAAAAAACCTCATAATAATCATAGTTATTTGTAAATAAAATTCGTATAAGATAATAAATGAATAATTTAAATGAATATTCATAAATAATATATACAAATATTTTTGTACTCATTTATAAATAGGGGAGCATGATAGTATTCATATTCGCAAGTAAAAATGAGCAAGGAATGGATTGAGACTAATTTATCTTTATCCTTTCCCGACAAAAAAACGATTGGATTATTTATTTAAATCCAAATCCAACTTGATCAAGACCTGAAATATATAGGACGGAACCAAAATAATTCGACATTTCAACTCATTATATCAATAGGAACATATGTATAGTTAAGTTATGAAATAAAAGATATATAAAACTTGAATTAAGGTATATTGTACAATATACATTTTAAAATAAATAATGTCTTTATAAAATATAATATAATGTCATACAAATTATTATATATTAAAAAATTATTATTAATACACAATTACTTTAAGAAATTATACATTTTAAAATAATAAATGACTTGTTGAGATAGTCCTAAATATAATTCAAACCCATCTTAAAAATTATATCAAGTATAATTTTAAGACTGTCCAAATAAATAATGAAGAAGGTTTGTTTTACTCACCCTTATCTAAAGAAATCTAATATATAAAATTATTTAAATATTCATATATTTATCTTATGTTTTTATATTATTTTTAATATTTTAATAAAATTAACGTTAAACATAAGTTTAATTTAATGTTAATTATTTATCATTGATATTCAATAGAATTAATGTCAAATACAAGCTCAAATTTATTTATAATAATTTTCTCTTAATATTTTAATATTTTAAATAATTCACAAATTATTCATGGATATCACATATATTTATAAAATTTGTAAATAACTGCTTAATTGATACCTACATGCATGTAACACATAGAGAACATATTTTTATTTGACAAGACAGAGATAAGTGTACACTACTACTTACTTCATGGAGTCTCATTGCATCCCAGATTACAAATTTTGAAGACAAAACTTGTTAAAATTCCTAAGTGCATTGTAAGATCCCACTAAAAGTGAGTTAAGCAACTCTACCATATTAAACAAGGAAGTAACTTTTTTTTTAATTTTTTTCCGTTTAACAGAATTTTTCAAGTTTCTAACCCGAAACCAAACATACAACAGGTAGAGATGCTCTTAGGAAAATCAACATTCATTGAATTGAGTGATTAAAGCACCACAATGATAGTAAACATTACATGAAGAAGAAAAAATTAAGGATCGACCGAAGGAGATGTAGGTAGACTCCTAAAAAGGAAGTGAAGGATTGAAACAAGACTTGGCACAAATGAAAAAATGTTCATATAACAATGAATGTCAATCAAGTAGTTAAAATGTCAACACCATAATTCATGTTTTAAATTTTATAAATAGATTCGTTAAAAAATTGTGATAATTAAAACCACTTGATTATAACCTAATAACCTTTTAACCTATTCAAATATCATGTCTAATATAATTTAGAACCGTAATTGATTTAGAACCTTAGTAATTTTATATTATATCTTGAACACATCTCATCACAAAAGAATGAAAGATCCCTCTAGACTTGAAACATGAATAATGCCAAAGCTCACTCACCTTACGGTTGAAATTCAACTGTTTTATTAGAAGAATAAAGATGACAAGGATCAAAAGCTAAAGTACTCGATAATAGGGACTTAGATATCGTGTTATGATTTAATAGTTCTAGAGACTATTCTTCTTGCCACAAGAGCACAAAATAACTTCAACTTGATGCCAAGAAGGAATGACGTGCATCTCTTGAAAAGATGCTAATTCATAGGTGCAGTGCAGCATCTTCTGTGGTCTCCCCCTCACAAATATCTTTCTTCTACAAGGGTGTGGATTTTATCATGTGAGTTCATATTATCTTATCATATAAAATTTTGTACCTAGTTCTCTCTCTCTTCATATACATCGAATAGGTGGGGTATTTTCAAAATTTGTAAATGTCTATGAAAAAAGAAATAGGCACAATTTTTCCATATAATAAAATTTTGTGAAAATTTTATGTGAGAGGATATCCATTCCCCTCCTGCGAAGAAACCAATGAAGGTGGGTGGAAACAATGAAACAGACGTACATTAGGATAAAGGCTACATAGAGAAATCTCATAACCCAATTACTGCTGTAGTGATCCAATGTCCAACCAATGTCATTTTTTGGTCAATTATAACCAATGTTTTTAAACTCTTATGTCTATAAACCAGTCCAAAATATTGTCCATATCTCAAGCTGTTATGGTTTTTTTTTTCAGCTAAATGATATTATTCTAATTTTCTTGAGTTTCACCCTAACATAATTTTGTAATATTATTTGGAAATTGGTCGTGTTCTGTATACCTCGCAGATCATACATTCTAACGTTTTCTTTTCAGTGATTGGAAATACAACAATAATTTTTCATTTTACTAGTTGAAAAGAGTCGGCACGTATAATTATAAAGAAAGTTGTGCTATTTTGCACACAAATCTTTCCTACGATGTTTTTGGTATTTGAACAAGTCACAATAGTGATTCTTGTACAAGTATGTGCAAAATCATAATAAGAGATATCGCATTGCAAGAATATTTGTAGATACAATGCTTTCTCTTTTTATTTTACTTTATTTTTAACAATTTCTCTATTGAATTTATTTTACTTCTAATTAATGAGCATAGTAGCGGCCTTTATTTATGGATCTCCATTGAGATGGTCATGTTAAGCAAATGTTGAAACATTATCTCTTCTGAGCTAAACAATCACATAAAATACCACTGAGGAGCTTATCATGATGTTTAAAATAAATAAAAAAATAGAAACACAAACATAGCTTCGTGAATAAAACCAAAACAGAATGAGAAAAAAGAAAAAAAGAAGAAAAAAAAAACTGCAGTGAAAGAATTAACCTTGCCATTGAAAGCAACTTAATGTATCTGAACTCAACATGCATAATCTGAATGCATTATTCTTTGCAAGTGTCCCACAGACATTATTCAAAACACTCAATTCACTCAAGTAAGTAGATTATGTACGAGCAAAACGAACAGAAATACGCTTCTGGATGGGACTCCTGCAAGAAGGACAATCTTGCATACCTTGTTTCTCATGGAGCTCATTGCACGTTGTGCAAACAACCTGATGAGCACATGGGAGGAATACAACAGACATCTCCTCAGAAAGACACATCACACATTCTCTTTCCCGTTTTACACCCCCTCCTGTCAAAGAGTAGTCATTTAAATTTGTAACAAGGTCTGAAATAAGAGTGACATGCGATTCTTCCTGAACCGTGCCACTTTTCACATGCATATAGCTGCCATCGATACCCCTTCTCAATGCAGCAATTTTGGAAGAGTCAGTCTTTTGTCTTAGTTGTGCAATTTCTTTTTCAAGTTTCTGGATATCATCTCTGTACCTCTGCAGATTCTCCTCTGCTTTCAGTTTGATCATATCCTCCTTTGATTTCGCTGACTCCTCAATTTGTTCCCTTTCTTTTCTTATAGAACTGGCCTGTAAGAGGAGTTCTTCTTTTGCCTTTGCTGCCTGCTGCCACCTAACCTGTGATATTTTTTTCTTTATGATGAGAACAGACTTGGTAACAAAATCCATTTGGCATTTACACATTGAATATGATGGCATCTGCAGAATCTCACAGTTGATATATGTATCAAACTGTACTCTCATTTCAGTAAAACAGTATTTACATTTTTCTGATTCCGGTATCAATCCTTTAATTAAAAGACAAGTTTGTTATTACAAGATGAATAGAACCTTCAAAGTATTAATTAAACAAATTGAACAAGAACATAAAAGTTAAAAAAGATGATAAATCATCCATATACATTAATTCCTTGGCGAGGGAAGACGGTTCAGTTCTTGACCTTTAGAAGGTAAATTGTTAAAAAGAGGATATTACCTTGTTAGCTAACACTGTGGAAAAGGAAAAAACATTTTGATTCATTTAACATATTGGCACTACCCACCCATTCTACATGGAAACAACGTCAATGGTTAATCCATGAATATAAATGAATAACAAATAAAATTTCAATAAGTGTCGATCCAAATTTATTTCATTTAATTATGAACATAAAATGAGAATGTGAGAGTTTTTGAAATTTACATACAATTATTCCCTAACAACAACTTACTTTTTAGAGACAAGGCTTAAATATTGAATATAACATGAGAGCAAATTACAACCTAAGCCATATATAGCATAGATAAAAAAAAACAGCTAGAATAAGCTTGAAATAATATACCTCAACTTGCTCCCGATGCACTTTAGCTTGCTCCAATGCTTGCTGCAGTTGAGCCAATTTGTGTTTTTCAGCCATTAGCTCTTCCTGAAACAGGGATTTCTGCTTCTCCCATGATTGAAGCTTCATTTGGGTCATTTTTTCCCTGCTTGAGACCTCTTGACAGTTTGTGGCAGATTCTGTCGCATGTAACTTAGCATCCTCCATCTCTTTCCTCAGCACAGCATTTTCACCTTCAAGCTTCCGAACATCAGCATTAGTTCGTTCTACTTGCATACTTGCTTTAGACAAGGCATTTTCCATCTCAGAAATCTTTTTCATAGTGTTTTCTTCTAGAGATTGCTTCTCTTTTTTAAGACGTTCAACTTCATCCTTCTCTTGCCTTAGTGTCTTGAGCTCAGCCTTATCCTTACTTAGTCGACGAGCAGCTTGCATAACCTTCTGATTTGCCCATTCTGTCCATTCTTGAAGCTGATTTTGCAGCTCCCGAACCCTTGGAACCAGCTTCAAAATCATCTCATCCTTTCTATCTTGGGGTATCCACTGCCCCAGGGACTTGTCATAAGGTATCCCCAGACAACTACTATTTGATGCCTTGTTATTGAGGCAGACAGGTGTTATAGGAGACTTACTTTTTGAAGACAAAGAAAGAGAAAGATCAGTATCTGTGACCGATAATGCATTTGGGTTACCAATCGCTCGTATAGCATTTGCTTCATGTACTGGAGATAAAGTATCAGTTGACTGAGAATCCAAGCTAAATGCAATAGGAGTAGATGGACCATCATTAGATGATAAATCAGCATTCAAATTGTTTTGTGTCACGTCAACTCCCATTGCCTTACTTATATTTAAGGATGCACTCTTTAAGTTTATGGTATTTGATTCAGATACTGATTTGAGCTTTTTATCCAAGATTAATCCATTCAACCTTCCTCCTCTTGAAGAACCTTTAGACCCATATGTCCGATAACCTTTTTCCATGTGGAATGACTTTTGTCGAAGAATGTGGTCTCTCTTGGCATGACTGGAATGAACCTTTCTAACAGTCCCACACCTTTCTTCCACCGAAGGAGATTGAGATGTCCCAACAGCACTAGATGATTTATCAATAGATTCGCATCCAGAATTAGCACTTTCTTTCTCCGAGAGTCCAGCAAGAATTTGAGAATTTTTTGAGTTGTGCAAACAAGTATTTCCTGTCACAGAGGAAGATTTCTCAGATTGAGAACCTGAAGGGACTGATTTACAAGGACTTGGAAGACTCAATTCAGGACCTTTAGTTTCTAGTTTCGTTTGTGATTCAGTTTGGACAGAAGAGCAGCCATCAGCAATGCCATCACTACCTGAACTACTTAAAGGATCACCTTCCATTGCACAAGCATGTGTCACATTCATGTCACAGATTAGCAAACACCACATTGCATCCCCGGTACTGAAGAATGGCCTAACCTCTCGAAGAACGCAAACCAATTCAGCCAAAATATACTTTTCTAGCTGCACTAAATCTTCAAAATAGTGTTCTCGTGAAGGATCAATCTCTTGGCCGTTTCTAAGAAATGTTAATCCATTGTCAACTATATTAGACACAGTATCTTTACATCCATAACAGATGCCAGACCTTAAGATGGCCTTTGTAGCAACGTCTTCAGTGTAGCCACAAGCAACAAGCTTTTTAATAGCACTCTTGAAAATGGTGTGCAAATTTTCCAGGACAAGTTCTTCTAACTGGGCCTCAGTGAGATCACTCCAATCGGCATCATGATATTCATCTACTTCAAGTTCCTCCTTAGGTTGGCTAAGCCTGATGTCAGTTGAAGTTACAGAACTAGACAATCCAAGGTCAAGCTTCAACCCATCAGAATCAGAAGCACTAGCTTGCACATGACCTGCAGTTATTTCAAACTTTTCAGCAGAAAATTCATAGCTGAGACTCTCATTTTGAAGTGAAGGAATAATCTTATTTGGCTCCCCTAGCGGTGGATCAGCCCTGAATTTTCTCTTATTCCTACTTCCCTTTTCTTGTACAGAAACTGAAGGAGCCATTTGACTGCAACCACTGGTAACCAATGATGATGCCATTTATCTGCAAACCAAATTAACATGAAAGAAAAAAAATAAAAATATACGAATACACTCTCAAGTTTTATGACTTTATTTAGCATCATTCACAAACCTGCAAATTTTACTAAATCCAAATACAAGTTTCGTTAAGAAGGATAATGCCAAAATTAAAATTGATCGGCAAAATTCAGAATATTTTTTTCTAATACCATCGACCAAGGAAAAAGAAAAGAAGAAATAACTAACACTGAATTATAATGCCCTGCTTGGATTCAAGAAGAAAATCCATTACCTCTAAATCTCAGTATTGCAGCCAATAAGATATAACTCCCTGCAACGTTTACATAGAGAAAAACCAATAAACGAATAATCAAGCAAGGGAAAAAATAAATGAATAAATAAACTACCCAGAAACATGTGACCAGTATTCCATTCGTTGAGAACATACCCAGATGAAAAAGAGAGAAAAGTGAAAGTACCCAAAGACATATGAATACTCTAGACTCAGTCACAGATCAGAAGAGTGATCAAAGAAAATTATGTTTTGAATATCATAGCATAGGCTGCCACTGAACATAGAGAAGATCCCCAATAACCCAACAGATGTTGAAGAAAATCAGAATTATAATCGGTAACAGACGATCGAGACGTACCCGATTGAAGCAAAATTTGGAAAAATCAAAAGTAAGATGGATCTTAGAACATCTGAGAATCAGAACAAAAATCCACAATTTCTTTATTTATTTCTCCTTTTATTTTATTGTGCCGAGGCTGCAACAGCTTCAGGCCTTAAAAAGCCTTATGAGCATCGAATGTCTCTTTCTATAGTAATACTAACTAGGTTAGCACTATAGGCAAAATACAAGCATATTAAATACACAATTAATTTTTTAAATGATTAGAGTGTAAACCATAAATATTTTTTAAATATATACTTCGTAGAGGCTAAGTTGGTGTTATCTTGTGAGGCTCCAAATACTCATTATATCTACAGTGTTTTTTTATGGCTTTATGATAGAAATATTTGTTTATTCAAATTTCTTGTTTGAACATTTTAATCTTTTATTCAAATTTAATGTTTTAAATTTTACAATCGAGTCTTTTATCACATTTTAATGATTTAAATAAATTATTTTTTATTTTAAAAAAATAATAGAATGTTTAGTACATATTTGAGATAAAAAAATAATAATTTAAAAAACTTCATGAGTCAATAGTTTAACTAATAAATTTAAAAGATTTATAATGTAAACTTAAAATTTTAAAAAGATAAAATAAAGAATTAATTTTAAATTTTTTAATCATGATAATGATATAAAATATCATTTAACAAATATGATTTATTTTATATTTAAGGTTAAGATTCAAACTTTAGATAATTAATTAAAAAATACAAGTCACTATTATTTATGTCGATCAATGTAAATTAAGTTTATATACTTAATATAATATAAATTTTGAATAAAAAATTATTTTAAATTATATATATTTTTAATCCTTAAATTTTTGTTGATTTTTTATTTTAATATTTAAATAATTATTTTATTAATTGTAGTTCCTAAATTTTTATCGAATTTTATTTTTAATTCTTAAAATCTTCTTCTCATTAATATTTTAGTCCTTGACGTTAATTTTTTTTATAAAGATAAATTTTAGAAACTAAAATTAAATAAAATTTGTTTAAGGACTAAAAATATAAAATGTTAAAATTAAAGAATTAAAAATATATTTAATCCAAATATTTTTATGATTCAATTCATAATTTTTATAAAAATATAAACGTAGAAAAAGACTTTATTATAATAATAAATTATAAAATATTAAAAATAATATTACTTTTATAACTGATTTTGTTTTCAAATTCTTTGATTAGGAGTTGACAAGGCTTTTATCTCTTTATTCAGTTAATATTTAGTTAAATCAAATTAAGTGTTAAAAAAGGTATATTTTTAGAAAATATCTTAAAGAGTGAAAGAATATAATTGGGACCATTCTAAATATTTTATTCTTTTTACATTTGAGTCTAATTACTTTTTCACCTTTTCCTATCCCGTACTAACATATTATGCATAAAAAATAAAATAAAATACATTAATCAATGTTACCGATCGATATATAACACGGTGTTTTTTTTTTCTTTTTTAATATTTTATTAATTATTTTTAAAAAGAATAATTCATTATAATACATAAATATTGTAGATATTTTTTTACACAACAAATAATAATAATGACAAAATTTTTAATAACAAAAACATTTTAATACTGATAGTGTATGTAAAATAATATCTTTTGCTATATGTTAAAAAAAATAATAAATAAAAAACACTTCGTGTCTTTTAAATTTTTTTAAAAAAATATAAGTTGAATTGTAAAAGTCTAAACCTAATTCAGTCCGTTTATACACATATTATCAATTGAAAAAATATTATTCATTTATAATAAAAAATATTTTTATTAAAAATAATTACCATTGCATATATATTAAAAGTATCGATGAATAGTTACTTTCTTATTTTATAAAACCAGTACATATTTTCTCCATCTACCAAAAATAAATAAATTCAGGACATTTTTTTTTATTAAAAAAAAAAACTCATTTTTTTATCATTTTCAACAGAAAATGAACTTATTTAAAAAAAAATCAATATTTTATTGAGTAAACCTTCGTTAATCTCTATAAATATACAAAAGTTAAAGTATTTTTTGACTGCTAGACAAGGATTAAAGTTAAACACTTATTATTATTATTATTATTATTTTACATATTATAAATATCTTTTATGATTGAAAATCTTATTAATTATTTTTACTTTTTATTATTTTTTAAATTAAATATCAAATTTTTATTCCATTTTTTACTTATTTTTATTCACATGTTCCATTTTATCTATTTCACGTATATATGTATATTTTTTTTATCTATACTAATAGGTTTGATCAGTGTTTTAAAAACCGGACCGGTCATTGAACCGGTGAGAGGTCATCCACCTCGGTTGCTCGTGCCAAGGCCACGGCCAACGTCGTTGGAGGCGACACCTCGACCACCTCATCCCCGTTGTCCTCTTGTTCGGGATGATCGGAAGGGAAGACAACTTCGCACTGCAGCAGTGGTAACCTTGATATTTCACTTGAAGCCGACCCCTCTTTATCTGATGAAGCACCAGACGCCTCCGAAGACGTCCAACTGCTAGCCGAAATTTAGCCTTTATCCATTTATTGCTAAAATTAAAAAATACAAAATTTTACCTTGCTCTGGTTGTTCGGAAGAATGTAATCTCGAGAGAGTTCGGAAAATTTACAGCGCGTAAATTTTCACGTCCAACCCCCCCTATTTATAGGCAAGGTAAATGGGGGAGGTGAAAAGACGCCCTCGAGCCTCGACTGTTCGATCTATATCATCCAACGGCCTAGATTTAGTAACCGTTGGGCCTGTAACCGCTACAGCCAACGTGGTAGGCCACACCACTTGGTGGGGCGGTGATTTGGTGGAGAATGAATGCAGCTATGGGCTGCCTCCTAACTTTCTTACTCCAACTACTAGGTTAATTTTCTTAGGAGAATCACTAATTTATTTGATACGAGAAGCTTTTCATTGTCATGTCACCTGTGAATCTTTTTGCTACTTGAGCATGTGGAGGTAATGGACCCAATTAAAAGTGTAGTGCTTTTGTGAAAGGTGTTTGTGCATTGCATGGTGTGAACTGTATGCTGCCTAACTTCTACTCTTCTAGTATATGATTTGTCAGAGATGCTAAATAAAAATAAAAATAAATCCATTCACCCCACTTCGACATTTCTCATGTTCTTCTGGTTTTCGCACACACATTTCATATTTTTATGGCTAGAAATTTTATAAAAGATAATTTTCGTTGTCACCACCTTTTATCTGTACTGAACAAACCGAATTTGACATGATTTGAATTAATTCACATTTTTTTCCCGCAAAATATCTTGCTCTCTTTTAGCCCTCAGGTCAAATTAACCACTATAAAAATCGTATTCTTTTTTACCTTTCAACTACAGATAACAATTAACAAATGAAATTGAGATAGCAAAAAGAAAAAGCTTCTGGTGCTAATATAAAGTCTATATGTTGACATTAGATAAATAACTGGAAGTGATGGCTGAAGAATTGCCACTACACATGCTTGGTTACTATAATATTATTATAATTAAATGATAATGGTAGGGTCAACTCATTAGTTTCATCAATCGTAGTTTATTATTTGATTGATGTAAGAACACGAAAAAGAAATCTACATGTGTGTCACTACCTGATGCTTTCTACAGTGAAAAGAAGTATCACATTGACAAATGGAGATATAACTAATTTCATCACGAAAATGAGATTATACATTTTTGTATTTGATAAATCGCTGATCGTGTTAAATGTCAATTGTTAATTACTTGCCTTGTGAGGAAGAAATCATATTCAGATTACACTAAAGAAAGATAGGGTGATGGTGATGCTTTTAAAAATAGACTCGTGTACAGTACAGCAGCCACTCAATTTGCTACCTAAACAAGCCACCATTAATTAAGCTTATACAATAGATAAATTCGGTACTCTTGTCAAAGTGAAATGCGGTTACAATGATGCAAATTAATGCACATGATTCAGATCATACTTAGACCAATGTCTAAGCTACATGAATCATGATTCCAGCAACATTAAAAAAATAATAGTGTGCAGTACCACTATAGGAATCTACACCAAATACATTAATATATTGCGTGCAATGAAGAGGATACGTACATGAATATTCATTTTTAACGAATGAAGATTCAGGAGAAAGTGGGGACATGGATTATGCTACCTCATGTCTTGGCTATTTTAAGCACGGGTTCTGCTATGTGCATATGAGGTTATGCTTGCCACTATAAGCTGGCTGCACGACACTATGACATTTATGGTTAATGCCCATGCGGATAATGGAATACACACTTCTACCAGATTTTGTCCCTTGCCAAAGAATTACTCAGTTTAATAGTAAAATATAGATTGTAAAGTAATCGATATGGAGCAAAATAAATGAAAAACAAGGGAAATGAAAAAGGGGTAAAGGAGAATGCGTGGCTTACTGTAGAATGCACTATATTGTTTTAATTACAATAATAAACTACACTTCATTCAAAACGTGACCAATGGAAATGGCTCGTTGTTGCTATACAGATCGGCAATGATCTATGATGCATCATCGTTGAAAGTGAGCACCTAAGAGAGTAATTAGCAGTTGTTTAAGATATTTTAATTAAACTAGGATATCTTGTGAAAAGATAAGATCATTTTAGAGAAAGTGAGAGACAAATCATATTGAAAGAGTTGGTAACATGCAAGAAGTCAATTCACTTAAACTTTCAATAAGAAAAAAGAAAGAGAGAGTTGATAATTACATACATGATACATGCATACATATATATACGTTAATTTTATTTTTTAAACTTTGATCAAATTTGACAAATAATTTGCATATCTGTGATAAAAAGAATAAAAATAAAAAGTCTGGCAGGGTATAGTAGGAGAGAAGATGGATATAGGAGAAAATGGTTGAAGAATGTTTGAAGGGGAAATTAGAGAAGAAAAAGTCAATGGATGTGGACACGGGCAAGATAGTATACACCCGGCAAGTACACTTGTGATATGGAGATTATGGAGATTCGGTATTGGAAGCAGCGAGGACGTGATAGTGTGCAATATTTTAATTAAAAAAAGCTACCAATATTTTAAACAATCAAAAACGGTTCCTTTCTATGACATCCTTCACGAAGGGATCTAGGCCCATCATCTGAAATCCCAACAATGGATCACAAACTATAATTCAATTGATACATATATATTCCCATTAATCACATAACTACACCATTTTCATTAATCTCTATTCAATTAAATTACTTGATTAAAGGAACATAAGATAACATAGATTTAATTGATTAAATTAGGATTCGCGTGTCTGAAATCAAATGAACCAAAAAAAAGCGTAAATTTGGGAAATGGAAGAGGTGCCTGCAAGGGTGGTGACGGAATAGACAGAACCGTGAAGGCCACCGATGGCAGTGTAGCGATGCGGCAATGCGGTAGTGCGACGGTGCGGTGGTGCGACTATCGTGGTGCAGCGGTGCGGCGGTGCAGCTGTGGCAGTGCGGTGGTGCGTGCAGAGAAGCAACGTGCGACGAGCAGGATTTGTTTCTCAAAATCAATCTGAAAAAAATAAGCTTAGGGTTTCTAAAGGAGGAGGCAGCGTGCAACGAGCAGAGGCATTTTAAAAAACGACGTCGTTTAAATTTTTTTTTTTCAAAAAAACTGATGACCCGGTTTGGGTCATGACCCGCGAGTCGCTGGTTCAACCGGGTTTTTAACCGGGTCAAACCGAGTCATACCGAGTCAGCTGCATATCCGATCTGATCACTGGTTCGGCTCGGTCTAACCACCGGTTTCCGGTTCGACCGGTTCGACCGGCCGGGTCGAGCCGAGTTTTACAACACTGGGTTTGATGCACTTTCTTTTTCTATATTTTATTTAAAAAAATTAAAATTGTAATAATTCACCATAATTCTTATGTTAGGTGGCATAGTTACTTTCTTATTTTATTTTATGAGAATAAAGTATCAAATTATATTAGATTAATATAAAATTTTGTATATATGATTTAAGAGTAAAGAACTTTCAATCTAACAGTTAAATTTATAAAACTCACATTTAATATAAAGTTATTGAACAATGTAATACTTAATAAAAGTTACACTGGTGTCGTTTTAACCATCCTCAAATATATTTATATATATATATATATATATATATTTATTATAAAGTTTATTTATGTATAATAAACATTTAGAACGTGAAGTACATATACTAAAAT